AAAAAAGAAAAAAAGAAAAAACAAAAATGTCAAGTGAATGATGACAAATACCTGTGAGAAAAAATACCAGTGTGCCTCTAAAATGGCCATGTGGAGCTTTGCAAGGAGGCTGGTTTGATGCTGCCTTCACATTTCACAACGTGTCACTGGCAGCTGGTAGTGTGATACGCGTAACTACTGCTAACATTTCATAATATGACAATCTAATAGGTGTAATAGCTTTTGTATTTTAAAATTCATTATGAGCAGCAGTGCCTTAGCACTGATGGATACATCAGTGCTTTCATATATCTACATCTCTTTGGGTGAGTTACATAAAGTTGTTTGATTGCCAGACAGACAGGAGACACTGATCTGAAAAAAAAAAACACCTAAAAATAAAAAGAGATTTAAAATCTCTCACACATTTCATGTCAACATCAGCTGTCCCTAGTATTAAGAGGTAATGAAATGACTAAAAATATCATTTCACAAGTAAAATAAAAAATGATATTAGCCTTTTTAAATGAAAGACTTAAAATGCTAAAAAAGAACTGGTCTCAAAACTGAAAATTTATGCGTAGGAAGGGGATTTCTAGGATACACTTTTTCTCCAAGTGAATTTTCCAAGGATTCCAAACGTTATTTGCCTTCTAGTTCTGTAGAGTCCATATGGATTTCTCATATCAGTTTCCACATAGCCTGCCTTACAAGGGAATTATCTTGTATTTAGAAAATATATTAACACATTTTAAGAACGTTTAATGTATTTAAGTTAACAGTAAAAGTACAGATGATGGAAAGTTGTTCTCTTAAAAGCATGCCACATGGTCATCTTTAGGGCTAAGCAACCTGCAGGTTTTAAACACAATTTTAAAAAATCTGTTCTAGATCTCTGTACCGAATGCCAATGATGAAATGGGTCCAGTGGATTTGTTATTCCTCTTGTCATTTCCTCAATGTTTAGCTTTCTGGATATTCCATTTTAGTTCCTAGAGAAGCTTTGTGGCAAAATACCTACCAAAACCACACAACCAGGAAGGCTTAAGCGTGGGAGTCAAAAGACCCCTTGCAGAGGCCACAGGAGGTGCTTAGTCTGAAGGTGAATGAGGCTGGGAGCTGATTTAATACAATAGCCTGATTGTCAAAGACTGGCAAGTTCTGTGCTGGGCAGGAGGGGAAAGGGAAGAGTGGCTCAAAAAAAAAGAAGTGAGGAAAGTCTGATATTATTCAGCAGCGTGCTTGAGAGCCTTATCTTTGTTGTACAGCCAGAGAAGGCAGGAGTTGTGTAGATTTGGTTTTTTTTAACCTGTTGTGCTCTTTCTATGGCATAAAAGTGGTTTCCAAATAGAAAACAAATCAGAGGGTAGAGTGTCAACCTGAGTGGGACAGGTGCATCATTAACGCTTGGCAGAGGTTGCATCTTTTTCACTGACAGTAGCAATAAAACATATTCCCCACATGTGGCTTATTTGCAAATCAGCCTTGAACTTGGAGTCACGTGGAGGAACGCTATCCATGAGATCCTTGCAGGATTCAGACTTGGAGCAGAGACATGGAGGGTGGAGGGGATTTCAGGCCAGTGGATGTCTCAGCTTCATCGAGACAGCTCTGTGCTGCTCCCCAGCAGCTCCAGAATGTACTTCAGGTACCTAGTCCAGCTTGTACAATAGGCTTTACACTTCAGGAAGATGACTGACTAGGTTAAATCTTATCTTTAGGATTCTAGGCAGACTGGTTAACATAAATGTAGCTACCATATCAAAATATATATACGTATAGGTTCTATGGGTACATGCATTATATAGGTTTCTTCCCAACCGTGGTCCCCTGCAGCATCAGACACGTCACTTGCTACTCTTTGAATTTTGCCCCCAGCAGTTGAGGTGCTTTCAATTGATGTGTGTAATATGGATGCTCCACGTGTATTTTTCCCCTCCAACCTCACTGCAAGTTCTTTATGTCCTTTATACTTACTATTAGTATACTTGGCTCCATATTCATCTCCGAGTCTGTCAACATAGTTCACCTCTTGTAATCAGGAAATGGTGATTAAATGAACATCCAAGTA